TGCCGGCCTGGTTGCCCCCAACTGCCCCCCCTGCCAGCCTGGTCACCCCTCATGGCCTCCCCGCCGGCCTGGTCGCCCCACACAGCCTGGTTGTTCAGTCGTTTGGTTGTCCCTCACTAACCCCCCTGCCAGCTTGGTCATAGGCAGCCATCTTGTGAGGGCATGAGGGTTAATTTGCATATTACCTCTTTATTATATAGGATGTTTTTAACATTTATTTGCATTAAGTTACTTTTTAAATTATATTTTTATTGATTTCAGAGAGGAAGGGAGAGGGAGAGAGAAACATCAATGATGAGAGAGAATCATTGATCAGCTGCTTCCTGCACACCCCCCACTGGGGATCAAGTCCGGAACCCAGGCATGTGCCCTGACTGGGAATCAAACCCGTGACCTCCTGGTTCATAGGTTGATGCCCAACCACTGAGCAACACCGGCTGGGCTTATAGTAAGTTATTTTGTTTGACAACTTTTTTTTAATCTAAATTTTCAAACTTTTTCTCCATGATCCTAGTAACCTGGGTAAAATCCATTAATGAATACTCTTCTAATTATTAGTTCTCCACAGTTGAAGGGTAGATTATAGACCACATGCATGCACAATATCTTCAAATAGTTTTATTCTGCACAATCAAGGGAATTTTCCCAACAATGTGTTAGTGTTACCCTAAATCCTAAAGGAGGGATATACCACACCTGGCATGTTTATCATTTCCCCCAGTAGGGGCATGCTGACTGTCTCAGCCCCCTCCCCCTCCCCCACCCCCTCCCGACCAGGACTTCCCAGGTACTGTGGGAGACGAATATCCAGATGCTCTGAACTTCAGTCACTGCCCGTATTGGAAGGTCAGGAATTGAAGTGGGACGTGAACCTCTAGTTCAGAGTGGTTGGTGCGTGTGCACCCGCTACAAGTGTTAGTTCCGTTTCCATGAGCTGTCCTGCATTTCCAAACTAAAGTTTCTGCAACACCCACCCCTACCCCACACCCCACACACAGCCCGTGGCCGTCTGCACACGCTGGCACTTGTGTGAGGACCCTACATCAGGACGGGGGTGTAAAATTTCAGCTGTTTCCAAGGGCCGTTTGGTGCTCTCTTTAAATTGTGAAAATCTCCAGTGTCACCCTCCTCTGACCTGTCAGTTCCGTCTTCAGTCCCTCCTCTTGGGACACGCTCGCCAGGGGGCCCGTGGTCCCTTCTTATCGCAAACCAGTGTCATTCACAAGGACTTCCTGGGAAATTGGGGTACATCCAAACTAAGGAATACTAAGCTCCAATTAAATAAACCAGTTGTTTCTTTCTCTCTCTTCCTCTCTGAAATAAAAAATATATTTAAAAATAAGAAAATAAAACACCTTAGCTATGCCTTGTGATGTGGCAGCCTAGCTGTGTGGCCTTCCAAGCACTTTCTAAGTAGCATATGTTTGTACTCCGGGTTCCTCCATCGGATCTCGACAGCACATTGCTCATTGTCCTGGCTGCCCGAATTTCACTGAATTAATGTACCATCATGTATTTACACGGTGACCTGCCGTGGGTGCTGTCAAGAGTAATGCTGAGGGAACCTGGTGTTTGTCCTGGGTCGGGGGACCACGTGTCCTGAGTGCGTTTCAGGACATTTTGGGGTGAGGTGCCGCACTGTGGGTGAGTAAGCCCATTGGCCAGGCCTGTGCAGAGACTAGCTTGCATTAATTCCAGTGACAAGCTGTGCAAAGTGTGGCTTCGTGCTGCAGGGAACTGAGACTGCCTGGAACACGGTCAGAGCAGCCTGGCCAGCTCCTTTCTGGTGCCGGTCATGGCGGGTGAGGCTTTGCTTCTCCCAGGTGGGGGCCCACGCAGAGCTGTTTTTCAAGTAGTTTTTTGGGGAGAAACCACCTAAAAGGATTTCAGCCTTTAAAATACCTCGTCTGGCCCGGCCGTCATGGTGCAGTGATTGAGCATTGACCTGTGAACCAGGAGGTCACAGTTCGATTCTCGGTCAGGGCACATGCCCGGATTGCGGTCTCGATCCTCAGTGTGCGGCCTGTGGGAGGCGGCTGATCAATGATTCTCATCATTGGTGTTTCTATCTCTCTCTCCCTCTTCCTTCCTCTTTGAAATCAATAAAAATATATTTTAAAAAACAAAAACCTCACCTGCATTGTCATCATTGTTCTGTTATCATTCCATTTTAAAGGGGTCTTATTTTTATTTCTTCGTCCGGTAGTGAATAGAGAGCAGGGTGTGGAGAGAGCGTGGATCTCAGGAGCGTATGCAGATGTCATAACCACACCGCTTTCCTCCCGCCGGGCCTCCTGCCCCCTGTGCAGCGCTCACCTTCAGAGGCGCACGCGGTGTGGAGAGGACGGAGCTGGGACGGAGCTGTGGGCGTGTGGAGGGGCTCACACTAGTAGACAGGACGGACACAGGCCCGCGAGTGGTCACCAGATGATGTGGGGCTTCCGACGCTTCGCCGCTGGCGACCGGAGCCGGCGAGAGTTCCCTGTCCTCACATTTGTGTCAGATCGAGTCAGAGGAACGTGGCGAGTCTCTGCTTGCCCAGCCCCAGGAGGCTGCGGAGCGTGGCTGGAGCCAGACGCCTTGCCCAGAGACTAGGGAAGTACTGTCTTCCCTGTGGAGCTGTTGGGGCCCCAGGCCACCATTCCTCCTTCCCCCATGGCCACTTGCTGCCTTTTTCCTGTTCGCTCCTGTACATTCCATAAACATCTCTGTCTTTCCTTTCCCTCCACCTCAAAATGCTACTGGGAAACGGTTGCTAGGAAGTACTCTGGATAAGAGATGCCGCAGAAAATCCATTTTAACGAGAATGTGCCTCTTTATCAACAGAAAACTTGGAATATAATGTGGAGCCTCAAGAAATCTCGCACCCCGATGTCGGACGCTATTTCTCAGAGTTTACTGGTACCCACTACATCCCCAACGCAGAGCTGGAGCTCCGCTACCCGGAGGATCTGGAGTCTGTCTACGAAACGGTGCAGAACATTTACAGTGCGAAGAAGGAGAACGCAGAGTAAAGGCCAGTAGAGGACATTGTGCCTTTGCTGCTGCTGCTACTTCCAGGAGAACAGGACTCCAGGAGTCCCTGGGTCCCTTTGGACATGACCACCAGGCAGCCACTTGGCCCGGAGTGCTGGTTGCCTCCCACCAGGTGAAGTGGCCCGTGCTCTCCTCAGCTGCAAAGACAATGTCGCTCTCCGCTTCCACTAGTGAATCCTTGGGAAGGCCTGTTCGGTGGCATGGCTTGTCTGCTTGTCTGTGGTGACAGTCTGTGACGTTCTGTCTTCATGAGGGCTCACAGTCGACACTCGTCTAATTGTTCCTTAGCTCCCTCTCATTAGTCTGTCTCGCACTTATCTCGGACATTTCATTTGCTGGCAACGGGCTCATAAGTTTGCAACGATTCCTCCCTGATTTCTCTGTGGCCCAGGCGCAGTCCTGAGTCAGGGTCATTGGTCTTTTCAGCCTGAATTTAGCTGCTTATTCAGAGGTGAAGCTAAGTGAGCTTGGCAGCATCTTGGAGATGAGCAATGTAGTGCTAATCAGAATCATTTGCATTTATTTTTTCTAATGTGTGAAACCGATTTCAGGCACTTGTCTTTGTCTGTATTTGAATTAGAAGAATAACAGTTTTCCCTCTTGGATTTACGCTCCTGTCGCTATGAACCATTAGTTTTCCACTTTGTTACATGGAATTCTTTGAGGAAATGCATAACAATGGCCTTGGTGATGGATTTTTCCATGTTCATCTACTATTCCTCCCTTTAAAGTAACTTTTTTTATGTTAGTACTCTCCAGTAGCATGAGTAGGTCTTAAATCAGTGATGGCTTCTCTTCATAGTAGGAAGTACAATCTGATGTTAAAATGTTTGCTTTTAGAAATTATACTTCGAGGTCTTCAAAGACCTAAAAATGAGACTTCACTTCTATAACCAGAAGAAAAATGAACCTCAAAAATGAAAAGAGGAGGTCCCGTGCCCCCGTCATTTCTGAGAGTCACATGGAGACCTTTCTGAGTGTGGCAGGGTAGAGCAAGTAACACATCTTTCATCTTAAGAGCGTCTGGTCCACGGCAAAAGAAACGAGTGTCGTCTGCTCTCTTGATGCCATGGCCGTGACGGCACCGGGGGAAGCCTGCACTCGAGTCCCCTGGGGAATTGACTGCTC